TTGAGAATGATGAGGGCAACAAATGTACAAATGTGCTTGACACAATGGATGGATGGATGGATGGATTGTGGTAAGAGCTGTAAAAGCCCCCAATAAAATGATTTATATAAAAAAAGAAAGCCAAAGGTGATTAAGAACACAGGAATAAAGGAAAGGACCAAAGGGAATGCTAGTAGAGACTGATATTTGCTCTTCTACACAGAGTAACTATAGTGAATGGAAAAAAAATAGTAAATGAGATGGACAAAAAATTTCAAAGGGCAGATCAAGAAAACAAAGTATTATAATGCAATGCCCAAAGGCCTTAGAAAAAACAAAAGGAAATGACAAGTGCAGCATATCTGAAGCTGAACAATAACGACAAAAACCTGATGAGAAAATCCAATCCTCGAATTAAAAAAAAAAAAAGTTACTCAAAAGAATTGGTCAACATTCAACCATTTCAAGTGACAGTGCTGATCAAGAACCGGTGGCATTGAGGGAAGAAGTCCAAGATGCTCTGAAGGTACTAGAGAAAATCAAGATTCTGGGAAGTGACAAAATACAAATTGAAATTAAAATAAAAACACACACAACTGATACAGCATTGGAAGTACTTAGTAGTTTTTGCAAACAAAATTGGTAACAGCTACCTGTCCAAATGATTGCACAAGATCTACATTTGTGCCCATTGCAAAGAAAGGTGGCCTTCACAGAATGTGAAACTTATGGGACAATATCACATGCAAGTAAAATTGTGCTGATGATATTTCAAAAATGGTTGCAGCAATACATACACAAGAAGCTGCTTGATTTTCGAAGATTAAGAAGTGTGCATGGAATGAGAAACATTATTGCTTATGTTAGAAGGCACTTAGCTGACAGCAGAGAATATCAAAGATATTTACTTGTGTATTACTGACTATGCAAAGGCATTTGTGTGGATCGTAACAAGTCATGGAAAGGTTTTGAAGAAGGAGAATTATAGTTCACTTAATAATACTAATGGGGTGCCAGCCAAACTGAATATTCATTTGCTGAAAACTGAAAGAGGACTCATCCTTACATTATATACAGAAATTAACTAAAGATGAATCAAAACCTCTATGTAAAACCTAAAACTAAAAATATCATGGAGACCAAAAGGGCAAACCTGTACTTGTTAGGTGCCTTCTAGTTGAATCAGATTTACAGTGACCTTCTACACAACAGAACAAAACACTGCCCGATCCTGCACTATCTTCCTAATCATTGTTAGGCTGAAGTCCATTGTTGTCAATATATCTCATTGGGGGGTCTACCTTTTGTTCACAGCCCCTTAAGTATGATGTCCTTTTCCAGGAACTGGTCCATCCCGATAGAAACTGTGACACAAAGTCTAGCCATCCTCAGTGCTAAGAAGCAGTCTGGCTGCACTTTGTCCAAGGCTGGCTATCCTAAAATGATACGGCCTAAGTGCAAAGGAAATACTGAAGACACAGGCTCCACACCTACTCAGTGTCATCATGTCAATTCTCACTCACAGGGACCATACAGGATAGAGAACAGCTGCCTCTATGGTTTTTGGAGACTGTAAATATTTAACTCATATTTCCTTATGTACAAGGTTGACTAGTTTGCAACATCTTCATAATCGCTGCCATGTCTGAGCCCACTGTTATATCAGCAAATGAAGGTCTTACAAACTTTACATTGTATTAATATCAACTCTACTTTGAGGTGGCACCTCTTCCCCAGTCATTTCAGTAATGTTTTCCAACTTGAGAGGCTCATCTTCCAGCACCATGTCAGATAATATTCTGCTGTCATCCATCACATTTTCATTAGCTAATTTTTGGAACGATGTCACCAGACCCATGTTCCTAAGTTTGTCTTACTCTGGATGGGATGATCCTGATGGCATTTGAAATACTGGTGGCACAGTTTCCAATATCATAGCAAAATACAAGCCTCCAGAGTTCAAAGTAAAACAAAATGACTCTATATACATTCTGCCTGATAGTGTTTCTATGAGGTGGAATAGACCCAACTGCAATGTATGTGGGTACGAAGTAGGAGTCTAGGTGGGACAATGACTATGCTTTTGGTTGCTAAATTAAAGGACAGTGTTTTTAGCCCACCTACAGTTACATAAAAGAAGATACTTAGGAATTTCCTCCTGTAAAAACTACAGCCTGGAAAGGAAAAGGGTGTTAACAAACCCAGGGACAAGGGAACAACAAGTGATCCAAAATCAATGGCAAGGAAGGCGTAGGAGGCCTGGTAAGGCTTGATCAAGGCAATGTAACGGAGAGAAATTATTGAAACCCAAATGAAGGCTGAGCATGATAGTGGGACAAGAGGAAAGTAAAAGGAAATAGAGGAAAGAACTAGGAGGCAAA